AACACAGGTAAACTTCTTTCTGGTATTCTTTGCTTTCAGCCAAGATTCATCTGACACCAGCAGTGGTATCCCTTGTTCCACATCCTCTTCTGAATCCAGCTGGATTTCTGGAAGTTCCCTATCAGTATACTGCTGCAACCATTTTGAATTATCTTTAGAAAAGTGTTACTTGCATGTGATATTAAGGATATTGTTCAATAATTTCTGCATTCTGCTGGATCACTCTTCTTTGGAATGGGCACAAATATTAATCTCTTCCAGTCACTGACCAGGTAGTTATCTTCAAATTTCTTGGCATCAACAAGTAAACGTGCCCAGTCCTGCATCTCTTTGTTGAAACATCTCAATGTGTGTTCCATCAATTCCTGGAGCCTTGTTTTTCACAAATTCCTTTAGTGAAGCCTGGACTTCTTCCTTCGGTACCATTGGTTCTTGATCATATGCTGCTCCTGAAATGGCTGAACATTCTTTTTTGTACAGTGACTCTGTGTATTCCTTCCTCCTTCTTTCGATGCTTCCTGCATTATTCAATATATTGTCCATGGAATCCTTCACTATTGCAACTTGAAGCATGAATTTTTTCTTCAGTTGATTCAGTTTGAGAAATGCCAAATGTGTTCTTCCCTTTTGGTTTTCTAATTCCATTCCAATATAAAATATCTGTTGTTGTTGTTATGTGCCATTGAGTCAGACCCGACTCATAGCGACCCCTCCTTGGGTTTCCGAGGCAGTTTAACTACAGAAGTAGATTGCCCCATCTTCCTTCCAAGGAGTGGCTGGTGGGTTTGAACCTCCAGCCTTCTGGTTAGCCATCAAGTGCCTTAGCCACTATGCTACCAAATATCTAGAATGAATGAATAAGCAAAATGAATAAAGACAGAAAGTAGATATATGGTTACCAGGAGGAAGGGGATGGGGAAAATAGTAATTGCTTGATGAGCACAGAGTTCCTGTTTGAGGGTGATGAAAAGTTTTAGAAATAAATAGGATGATGGTTGAACACACAAATATACAACATAATAACAACAACAAACAATTACAGTAAGAAATCTAGGAAAATCTCAAATATTGGGACATTTTAAAACACCTTTCTAAATAATAATGAATAAAAAAAGAAATCACTAATGAATTTAGAAAATATTTTGCACTGAATACAACATAATGAAATTCCTGGAATTCAGCTAACTAACATCATGATGGAAGGAAAACTGTAACTTCAGATGCTTACATCAGAAAAGAAAAAAAAAAACAAAAACTCACTAACATTCGATTCCAACTCATAGCAACCCCCACTGGGTTTCTGAGGCTGTAAATCTTTACAGAAGCAGACTGCCCCATCTTTCTGCCACAGAAACATGATGGGTTTAAAGCACTGACCTTTTGGTTAGCAACTGAGGTAAATTACATAGTATGGCTTTTCTTGCCATAGTCTTTGTAATGCCCACCGGATTACTGGTGGGAGCACACAATTTAAACTTCTGATTGTTAAAGTCACCCACTTGGGGTATTTCTGTTGTAGCAGCACAAAGTAATCTTCAGGGAAAGTTCTCTCTCAGATGTGTAGAATTCTGATGTTGGGATTGGTTAATTTTGCCACTCTGGCAGGCTTAAAATGAGGCCTCCTAGACGCAGAAAAGATTCTCTCACTGGTTGCTGAGAGAGGTGCACTGCTGAGAGATGTGCTACCAAGAGAAAGATGTGCTGCTAAGAGAGACACCCGACTAAGAGATGGTGGCAGTGGAATCAAGAGGCACAAGACAGGGTAGCAGGCTTACCTGGCCCACAGAAGCAGAGGCCAGGCCGAGAGGCCAAGGGCCAGAGAGGTGTGTCTAAGGGCACAGCAGAGGGGAGACTGTCTTGACCAAAGAACTGTATCCTTAGCGCATTCCTGAATTTGAACTGTAGCCTGTTGCTTCCCTAATAAACCCCATAATCTGTGAGTTCTGTGTGACCACTGCAGTGAATTATTGAACCCAGCGACAGGTGGTGGGTGCTGTGGGAGGGACAGTTGGTGTCAAGGTTGGTAAGAGGGCTGGAGGGTGGCCACATGTCTGGCCTCATAAGAACAGGCCTTGAAGGGCTGCTGATGGTGATTCTGTCTTTTTCTTGTGTAGTTGTTGTTGTTATGTGCCGTCGAGTCGGCCCCGACTCATAGCGACCCCTCCTTGGGTTTCCGAGGCAGTATCACTACGGAAGTAGGATTGCCCAACCTTCCTTCCGAGGAGTGGCTGGTGGGTTTGAACCGCCAGCCGTCTGGTTAGCAGGCTGTGTCTTAGCCACTATGCTACCAGAGCTTGTGTAGTTAGAGGAGGTCAAAAGATGTCACCTCTGTGCCCCTTTAGCAGCAGCCAAATACCTAACCACTATATCACCAGAGCTCCTTATATTGGAAAAAATAAAAATCTAAAATAAGTGGCCTAAGGTTCTAATTTAAGAAGCCAGAAAATGAACAGCAAAGGGAATTCAGAGTAAGTAGGCAAAAACGAAACAATAAATGGAAATCAACACAATAGAAAAATAGACAAAAAAAAGTAAGAAAAAATTAATAAAATCAAAAGTTTCTTTGAAAAGACTGACAAACACCCAGTTAGACTGATGAAGAAAAAAGATAGAAAACACAAGTCACCAACATAAGAAATCAAAGTAGAGTCAACACTAGAGATCCTAAGCGAAAAAAACAAATCCACTGTCATCGAGTCCATTCCAACTCATAGTGACCCTACAAAATAAAGGAGAACTACCCCATGGAATTTCCAAGCCTGTAATCTTTACGGAACCAAACTGCCACATCTTCTCCCAGAGAGTGACTGGTGAATTCAAACTGCCAACCTTTCCATTAGCCACCGAGTGCTTTAACTACTGCACCACCAAGGCTCCTTTATGAATTACTTAGATAACTCAACTTAATTTTAATACATTTTAAAAGCAGTAAAATTATATACAGATACTGCTTTTTTTTTTTTTCTTTTTTAAGATAAGCATGTTAATTAAGGATTCAATTAGTGCTTCTTGGATCTGTGTAAGTTTGTAAGCTACTTTGTTTGAATGCCATCCTGGAACTGAACTGACTCCATTTAGCAAGTCAGGTAAGTCTAGATTTATGCCAAAATACGAAACACAGCATGTGAGGGCAAAGCCTCTAGAGTTTGGCAACATCCTATATGATACTGGAATGAAATAAATACTGGCATATATGTACACCTGTGTATTCTTTCTTTCCTTTTATTCCATTTTGGAATAGGACCAATTAGTCTAGAGGCCTGAATTTTCACTAGGTCTGATCTGTTTAATTTAGACTTTGGGTTAGGATTCACCCTCACTTTCAGGCAAAGATTAGGGAAACAGACTTTCCAGCATGAGGAAATGGTACCCACACATTTATTTCTTAATAAACACTTGATGATTTGAAGATGGCTGAGGGATTTTTACAGTTTGCCCCCATTGGTACTAAACTTTGCCCAAATTTGCCCTAAACATGTGCATATGTGTGTATTTCGGAAGAAGAGTTGTAAAAATCTTTTCAAATTTCACCTACTGAGGGACTATTCCTACCTTATTCGGTGAGGCAGCATTAACATAACAAAGCTAAACAAAAACATTACAAGAAAACTATAGACCATTCCCTCATGAACACAGATACAAGACTTCTAAACAAAAATTTAACAAATTAAATCCAACAATATGTTAAAAGGGTAATACATAATGACAAAACTAATTCATAGTGACAAAGCAGATCAATGGTCACTTGGGAACTAAGGGTTAAGAGAGGGAGGGAGAGATTATAAAGGGTGATTAGAAAATTGTTGGAGCGATGGGTATGTTCACTATCTTGATTATGGAAGACATAGTTTTGCAGGTGTATACATAAGTCAAAACTTATCACATTGTACACTTGAAGTATATGCAGTTTATTGTATGCCAATTATATATCTCATGCTAACCAAAAAGCCTGCAGTTCCAACCCACCAGCCACTCTGAGAGAAGAATGTGGCAGTCTGCTTCCATAAGGAATTACAGCATTGGAAACCCTATGGGGCAGTTCTATTCTGTTCTTACAGGGTCACAATGAGCCAGAATTGACTCAATGGCAACGGGTTTATTTTTTGGTCATGTAATTTTGCCTTTAGGTGTTTGGGAGAATGAAGAGAAACACTAGAGTAAAAACAGAGTAACACCATATTTTGTTCTTTTATGTGTATACATATATATTTGCAAGGAGCCCTAATGGTGCACTGGTTAAAGCTCTCAGCTGCTAACCGAAGGTTTGAATCCACCGGCTTCTCTGCTCAACAGAGATGTGGCAGTCTGCTTCACAGCCTTGGAAACTCTATGCGGCAGTTCTACTCTGTCCTATAGGCTCACTATGAATCGGAATCGACTCCACGACAGTTCGTGTGTGTTTTTAATATATATTTACAAGACCCCAAATTTATCACTTTTGGGGACACAGATACATTCTAGTGGAAGGGCCTGATGTCTAGGATAGGCCTAAAACTCTTGCTCGGCAAGATCCACCTGCTGAAAGGCCAGTGAGAGAGACGGCAAACGCTGAGGAAGAGGAGGAATTGCTCTCAAAGACAGGATGGTGCAGAACTTACGTAGATGCTCAACAAAATCAGTAACCGAATAACAGAAGGTCTGGGGAAGCCCTGAGGAAGAAACTAGATGAAACTCCATAAATGGCAGGATGCCCTTTGAATCCGTCACACTCGCGCACAAGGGCTACAATATGAAAACACACAAGCGAATGGAGACAGAATGAGGGAATAAAGCAACCTCTTTCCAGAGGGCAACGGATACTTCAGCGAGCTGAGGGTCAAGAAGCGATGGACGACGGCCGTGGGAAAGAACAGTCGGCGCTGGGACCCTGAGGGCGACAATGAGCGCGGGGACGAAGTAGGGCGGGACAGCGAGGCCTCCGCTCCTCCTCGGTTGGGGCCGGCCCGAGACCGCGACCGGCCACTACCGCGTCGTTCTTATCAAGACTCGGCAGGGTAGCCATGCCGGGCCGCCTGCTGCAGGGCCTGTGGCAGCGATGGCGCCGTTACAAGTACCGCTTCGTACCCTGGATCGCGCTGAACCTCAGCCATAACCCGAGGTGAGGGGGCTGGGCGGCCCGGCCAGGGGCTCCTTTCAGCCTCTCAACACCTCGGCGGCCGCGGGCTAGGAGGTGGGCGGATCCTGAGGCGGGTGGAGCCTAAGATGGCCGAGCGGGCGGAGGCAGTCGGAGCTTGTGGCGGCCGTCGGACTAGAGGCGGTCCAGAATCTGGAGGCGGGTAAAAGGGACTGGGAGAGGCCAGAGGTGGGCAGATTGCGAGGCGGTTTAGGGATCTGAGGCCGTGGAGGGCGGGTCGGAGGCGGGTGAGACCTCAGGTGGGCGGAGCCTGAGGGGTGTAGAGCCCAGGAAGGGTGGGGGTCGGAGAAGGGCGGAGCCAGATGTGGGCGGGGCTATAAGTGGATGGGACCAGAATCTGGTGGACTCCTGGATGGTTAGGGCGAGAGAGGGGTGGGGCCCGAGGGGGGCGGGGCCCTAGGTGGGCAGGCAGGGGACTGGTGGAGTTTGGGGCGAATCTGGGTCCTGAAGGAGGGGGGGGGGGCCTCAAGTGGGCGGGGCCTGGAGGTTCGTTTCCCGGTGACCCCCACGCTTTGGGGCCTTCGAGGCCGAGGTAGCGGGCAGACTCTCTGGAAGTCTGATGCCACCCTGTTTTTTGGCAGAACTCGGGCAGAACTCAAAAACTTCTAAAAGACAAGAAAACTCGTCCCGCGTCAGGGTGTGTAGCCTTCTCCATGAGAAGACATAGTTAGGACCTTGCACTTCCTCAGAAAAGTTAAACCGAGGTTTATTTTCATAGCTCCGTAAACGTAGTTTATGTGTTCAGAGCAATCCAGCTGGACTGGGAGAATGATGGTTTGGAGTAATTAACGCATACAACCAGCATAAAGCAACTAAAAACACATCATAGTGTTGGGTTTTTATAATACTGGATCAGCGCCAGGAAGGGAAATGGTAAAGCTGCCCTGTGTGAAGAAAGCAATTTAGCTGAGTGGGTTGGCCCTGGGCCCAGCGTTACTGCGGGCTTTGTAAGTGGCATACTAATAGTTTGAAAGAAGTCAACGCCAACTTACTAAATACGCGGACAAGTCTCCGCTGAAGGCGGGTTGAGAACCAAAGAACTTTCCTAAAGTTTTATACTGCGGACTTAAGAATTAGAACCGTCATTACTATGGCTGGGAATTATTTTCCTTGTTTAGAAGTAATAATACAATTATGAAAATTAAATGATGCAGTCATTAAAGAAGCAAGTTCTGTTGGGTGAGAATCTGAAAAAATAATATTGACAAATTTTTCCGAAACAACACACCTATAAAAAGCCATCACAGTGTGATGACTCTCATTTTGTGGTAACATTCAAGTGGCTGTGCGTGTAGTGGGGAAGAGCATTTTCCAGCTTTGGGACTTGGGGCAAGTTCCCTAACATCTCCAAGCCTCCGTTTCCTTGTTTGCAAGAATTAGCTGATACATGTAAAGATCCAACAGCATTGGTCAAAAAGTGGGCCTTTAATAAGTGGCTGCTGTTAGCTTGTGTTGGTGGTGTTGGGAGTTAGGTCACTAGAGCAATCCCAAATAGTTTTTTTCCAAACTTCTTTTGCTTCAGTTACATGAAGCTAATCTTACAGTTTTTAAGGCCAGAAACCTAGAACGCATCAAGAAAATCTGACTTTTCTTAGTTGAAGGGTAGTGAATAGAAACTTTTCCCATTTTCAGGACCCTCCGATATGTTCCAGAGGAATCCAAAGACAAAGTTATATCAGATGAAGAGGTCCTAGGAACATTACTGAAAGTTTTCCAGGCTCTGTTCTTAAATGATTTCAATAAACAATCAGATATCTTGACTGTGCTTCCAGAACCTGTTAAATCGAAATATCAAGACTTACTGGCAGTTCAGCATCAGAGAGTAAACCTGCTTGAAAACAGACATCAACAGAAAAGTATCTTTAAACCAGAAGAAGTTCTTTATAAGACATTGGGTTTCAGTGTTGCTCGAGCAACTAGCTCATTGATTTCTGCTGGAAAAGGTGTCTTCGTTACTAAAGGATTTGTACCAAAAGGCGCGGTTGTATCTATGTATCCTGGTAATGGCACAATTATAGTACTTTACCAAGAATTTTTTGTATGCAGATAAATATAAACTTAACAAAATGCCTAGCCCTGTCATCCTCAGACTAAGAATTTGAATGGAAACTAAAATTTCTATAGGCTTTATTTTATGCTAATTTGGAAGTGTAGTGGTTGTAAATAGTTTCATTCTTAAAAGTATTCTGGAGTATTTGTTATGATAAACACATTTTTCTTTTTTTTTTAATTGTGATTTGGGTGAAAATTTACAGAACAAATTCACTTTCCGTACAGCAGTTCACATACACTTTGTCTCATGGCATTGACCACAATTTACCACAATGCAACAGCTCCCCTCCCACTTCCTCCTGATACTTACCTCTTCTCTGTGTCCATCCCTCCATGCCCTCCTGCCCCCTGAGCTGTCTCCTTGTGCATAAGCAACCCTTCTTTCTCCCATCATTGTTCTCTCCAAGGAGTGTATCTACCTC